TTGATAAGCCCCAGTCAGGTCAAACGTATATGCACTAGACATCTAGATAATAGTTATCAACATAAATACAGTACTCAATTATATATGTATGTATATAACTTCCTTGTTAACAGACATTTGTACATCAATATGTGTGTTTGTTTATAACCACTAATATTATCCAACTTTTCCACTGATAATTTAGATAAATTCCTCTGTAAATATTATAATTATACGGCCATATATGTTCATAATTCTAATTCAATCTTTTAAAACTTAAGCAAATTTGGCTGAAAATCAACATATTAAATTGATATCCAAAAATGTTTTTAATGTATAAATTACAGTAGGATTTTCGTTGTGAGTGCGTTTACAAACTTACAAATTTTTTGTCTGCACGGTTGGCGCAGTAGATGGACAACTGGCTGTCGTGCAACATGTCGCGGGTTTGATTCCTTCACGGAATAACTCTTTGTGTGATCCACAAATTGTTGTTCCGGGTCTGGGTGTCATGTGCATGTGAAATTGTATGTTTGTAACCGCACCCACGACACAGGAGAAAATCGAAGAGTAGGGCAAAGTTTTTTTTTAAATAATTGACAAACACAGCTACACAGATCAGTAACACAACCGTTTGTAAATCACAAAAAGTGTTGTCCGTGCGGGAATCAAACTCGACACAGCGGCCAGTTGCCTGGACACAGCATCAACCATGCAGTCAAAATGTACATATGTGCTCATTATGATAATTATCGAATAGCGATATCGCGTTGGGTAATTCTTTATACATATACATATTTCATTTTTACATGAGTGAGGTTTAAATAAAATAAATACATCAACTAAATTTGTAATTACAAATTCACATAAAAGTCATTGAAAGGAAATAAAAAAAATTTGGTACCATTCGAGCAAATGTGTGAACTGTTAACTAGTGTACATAATATCTTTTTACTATGCATTTAAATAATTATGCATTTCTAAATTACCCCATAGCATTCATCATTCCTTTATCCTCACGCTTTATGTTTTTAAAGGGGTGAAATAGGGACAGAAGGCTATTTATGTATTGGTTTTCTTATGTGCTGTATGTGTTTTATACATAAATAATAAAGAAATAAATCAATAATAATGCCGCAGGGCACCTTGAGGCGAAGTGACGGGAATTAGCGATCCCGCGGGCTACCATCATCCTGATTGCTCCTGGCTTGCCTTCATTGGCTGGTCGGAGTAAACGATGACGAGGAACAGGTCTCCCGCCTCTGGCTTGCCTTCATTGGCCGTCCAGAGTGGAGTCGCGAGAGTAGTGATCCTGCTCGGAGGGTGGAAGCTGTTCGTAAGCGGCGAGTGGGCCAGTGATGCAGGATGCTTAGGCAGATGAAGATGATCTGAGTAGAAAGCTGGTGGCAGTTTCTTCACCCTTCAGCCAGTCACATTTCCGTTGTCCCTCTGTTGCTATTACTAGCAACCATTCCCGGGGGCCCGGTCGGTGAGTTGGCGAGTCTCCACCTGCCATTTTTACATGTATAAATTACATTGTTTCGGCAGGTGCTATAGTCCTTCCATAGTTCCCATCCTGCTAGCCCATAGCAATCCACACCCATAGCCTTGTATTTTGTTTCCATTATCCGCAATAGTCCTACACTAACCGGGGACTGTCCTTGGGTGCATTCCCATAGTGTATACAGGGATAGTCGCCGGTTTGTGTCCCATTTCATTTAGATTAAAGTTGTCAAAGGACCGGGATCCTGTGATCCCGTGAAAGGAAACGGAAAGTACAATATGATTTTTCAAAAAATATTTTTGCGCCTCATACCTGTCGGTATTTATTAAGTGACCTGCACGACCTCCGATCTCAACTCACCATCACTACGTAGAATAAATCTAAAACAAAGCCGCTTTCTCTATACGTTATGCTTAAATCTTTGTAAATACACAACGGATTTTGATGCATTTTTTAATAGATACTGTGATTGAAGAGTAATTTGTGTGTTAGTAGATATGTATAATATCATCAATTAAATACATAGTGGAAAAATTAGTATCAGCATTGCCTCTGCAGGAAGCGGTGGCAAGTCGCTGATAGTTCTTATAAAAACGTTTAATTTTTGTTTGTAAATATTTAAATTATGACTTTAAGGCAAGTCATAATTGAAATATTTAATTACGTATTAAATGTAACTGATTAACAAATTATGTTGTAATTATGGTAAAATTAAAATAATTGAAAATTTAATCTCTAACTAGCAATGATATAACCTCCTAATAGGTGTTGCCCTATCACGCTCTATAACATGCGCTTTCTGCCCTTGGCCTGATCTTGATCGACCTGCGCAATGCGCACACGCAGCTCATGCGAACGTCATGTCAGGTCCGCCATGACAGATCGCGCGACAGAAAATTGTAAACGACATCCGTTCTACTGCAGTGACATTGTAACTAATCTTTTGACCTTTTTTATAGGCCGGAAGAGGTTCAGATTTTTGCAATTAATCTTTACTAGTTTAGGTAACGAGAACTCTACATTATAAGAAACTAAATAGAGAAAAGTTCTCAAGTGCGAAAACTATGTAAAGGGACCAAATACTAATATTCTCATCGTCGATTTCTGGAAATTGTAAAAAATAAATATAAATACTCTTTCGCCTCTTGTAAGGTACACAAGGAATTTTATTGGTATTTCTCTGCATGTTCTGTTCTTGGGAAAAAATCTGAGACCATAAATTATGGAACGTTATTTCATTTTCTGTGTAAATAAATTTTAACTAAAAGTTAATCAGTCAGTTTAAATATACTGATCGTCGTTAAATTGGTCGTCTTTTTCGTGGACCTAAAACCTTATTGAAATTTTTCAAGCTAATTATAAAAACTTATTTTTAATCTTTGAATTATCGTTTGTTTGTAGTGATAAAACCTTCTTGGTGCCGTGTTACGTTATGTTTAATTAGACTCCTAAAATAACTTGTTTGCTTAAGATTTGATTATAAAGAAACGTTGTAGATTCATTAACAATAAAGCTGAAGAAATGGAATTATAAAATTGGCTTAACTTAAAGAAAATTATAATAATTTAGGAAAGCCACATAAAGCGCGTGAAACCGCTACCTGCAAGTCACTACCAACCGGCTGATAGACAAGCCATTGGAGAGGTCTACGATCAGATTATGAATTCTTTTAGTTGTTACAATAATGATATAGATAATATCCAAAAGTATTTTATGTTTGAATTTATTTATAAGACAATTCATAAAATATTACGCCAATCTTTTTAGGAGTATTATCGACAAGACCGGGATTCTTACAAATATAAATTACGTGTGAAAGTCGAAAAAAAAATAGTCTTGAATAGACTAAAATATTTCTTGCTCAGACACAGACAACAAGTACAAATACAAAATTACTTACGTAACAAAATATTTAATAACAAAGTTTCAATGTAAACAGAAAGGTCAGTGACACCTACATACATTAATACAGGCTGTTGTTAAAGTAGAAGTAGTTTTTTTAAACATATTATCGCGTTTTACTACTGCTACTATTGTTAATGTATGATACTAAACATATGCCAAAGAATTCGTGTACTTTTTGAAATAAAATTTGATTAAGAGCAAGCAAAAAATCAACACTGAAGATATAATAACGTAGTATAGACTATATTTAGAGACTTAATTTCAGACACAGAATATGTATATTGTATAACTAGAGTAACATGTTAGCGTAATTTAATCAGAATCTATTCTGAAAAGCTCTTGATTCTAGAGCTATCTACATCTACTAGATTCCAGTTTTCACTAATTTTGTCTGTATATCAGTCAATTAATCCTTAACAAAGATTTATTTAATATAATATCAATAGGTCTATTGTAAATTAATATCACCGGTGAGTTTCCGTTAACAAGGAGATAACAAACTCAGGTCACTCCAATACATACACTGATAAAACTGTAGAGCTATAAATATCACAATGACTATATCAAATAATCACGCGTTTCAGTTTGTCCATTTCCGAAATGACAAAAAAAAATTACGAGTTGCATCACTTTTGTTATGTTTTTAAAGCTAGTAAATGAGATCGTGACTACGTGATACCTACGTAATAAAATATATGTAAACACTATGCCTAAGATTATGCATTCTTAAAGTAATATAGGATATCACATATTGATTTTATTAGTTAACAATATTTAAAATATGTCTTGTTCCAATAGTGTTAAGGTATAATAAAAAACAAAGTCGCTTTCTCTGTCGTGTATGTAGGTATGCTTAAAACTACACAACAGATTGTGAAGCGTTTTTTTAAAAGATAAAGTGATTGAAGAGGAAATAGTGAAGAAATTTTGTATCAGCATTGAACCCTCATGCGAAGCCGGGTCGGGTCGCTAGTTTATAATAATAACGTTTAGTTGAACGCGGTGAGTAGCATTCATATTGACAAAAAAGTTAGTAAATACTTGTAACAATAAGTTATGGTCTGCTAAGTCATTACTTTTCAACAACAGCCTGTATATAACACATTCGTGTTTAGTAAATCTCTCATTATATTTCCGGAGAATATTATAGGTAAAAACATTAGTTCACTCTGATACTAACATTAACACAAAAATAAAAAACCTTGTCTACCAAACAACCTCTCCGTCTCGTGATAAAAACAGAATCAGCTGTTTATCACACGACTAACATTCAGAACTAATAGAGATCAGTAGAAGTAATCTTAATCGCCGTTATAAGTGCTAGTCATCTTAGTCAGTCCTTTATTGCTAATAGGTCTCCGATCAGTGCGTACAGGCTCCCTGTGCTAGGCAATCACAAATCCCACTAGGGAATATACCAGTACAGAATCAAATCAGGTAAGTGTCACATTAATTAAAAGTTAAAGCACGCTATTACTCTAAAATTGACTTTATTATTATTTATTTAACGCTCATTTTTGTTAATACCTAAGCAAGCACCGATCACGCGCTTTCAGATTATTTATTTATGCGCCGCGTGATGGCTGCAGGTTAACAGTTGATCCAGTATCATCTTATTGATATTGATAACTCATTTATGTTCCGTGACACTACTTACCAACCTTTAGTTGTCATTTAGAGTTCGTTAGAGCTCCTTGACAATCTGTTACATTCTTATTTATTTAAAAAATATCATGTGTTAATGAAAGTTTTATAATTTCACCGTAAACTCTATTTAAATTATTATTAATATTATTTTTCTAATATAATAAAACCTGTTTTCTGGGTTCGTAATTAAAATACACCATTAAAAAAGTTTAATTCAAAAATGGAATTTTTGTCGCGCAAAGTAAAGTCACACGGACAAATTGACGCACGTCAAACGAATGGCGCGTTGGATACTTCAAGAGAAATTAAAAAACGGTAAGGATTGGTTAGCATTACATTTTAGAAAAATTATCCAATGTGAATTTAAATGTTAAAAAAGTTAAATATTAATAAAAGCCACAGTAACCAAATCAACTAAATATGAAATCCAGTGAGTATGTTCTAATATGTGTTTTATATCAAATTATTTTTGTAACATTTTTTGTCTTTATTATTCATGGAATAACGAGTGATTTTTAATACTTCATGGTTTATTTTATTGAATTTATTTAATTTTTTTTAGTACTTACTACTTTTGTCCGGACTGCCGACAATTTCCTGACCGTGTACAGTGCGAGATTTTTGGATCGTCTCCGTATCCTAGAAAAGTAAACTATTCGTAACAAAATACTTTTATTTCGACACAGTACATGTAGAGTAAAACTAGAATTTGTGGTTGTAAAAACATAAAGCTAGAACCTAAGGCTAGAACAAAATGTTGTGAGATAACAAATGCAAATTAAAATAGGATTGAAATCACGGAATTGCGGATAAATTAATACATGACTCGATTAAACATAATTTTATATTGATTATACATGCGCCTGTGAGTATCTCGCGAGCAACCCGCAAGTGGTGCATTCGTCATATGTGCATACACCGTTAAATACATACTGAAACACTATTTTACTTAGCTTTAAACCATTACAAATAAAAAAAATCCTATTTGGCATCAAAAAAACTTAAAGAAACACTTTCTGAAAGTAAAAGATTTTTATTCACAAATTATTAAAAGCATTTTTTTATATTTTGATAATACTTATTAAGCAAAGAAATTTGTTTTCAGATAGTGTTTCATAATGAGCTGTCCTTGTAACGCGGACGGTCGGTGGTGTCCCGCAATTCGTAGGTAGGCCGTAGAGCTTCGTAGCATTGTAGCCTCGTAGGCCTCGTAGCAAAGTTGCGTAGCCCGAACCTGTGACGTAGAGATGCTTAAAGATAAGGTAGAAAAGGTACTTTAATTTGTAATATAGTTAGTATACAGGTTTCTCTAGTAATGTCGTTTCATAGAATAATATATAGTATAACGCGACCAATGCAAACGTTGTAGCAATATAATTAAAAATCGTAAATAGATTTTTTTTTTTGCATTTTTTTCTTCCTAGTTCCGTTCGTATCGGAATGTTCCGGATCGAAGGGCCGGTTTCATAAAGTTTCAATTTCAATTTTAGTCAGTAACTATTTTTGTTGATGTAACAGGGTGACGTTATCGCTCAGCGATAAAGCCCTTAAAATGAGAATAAAAAAAAAGTTTTAATAGTCTTATGTACCAAAATGTATTTGAATGCAGAACGTAATTGGTATGCTCTAGGTGATGAAACAGGAGCTAATTCCGAAATTCTGATTATATCAATTATTAAATGAAATTTTAAATCCGGTGTATAGCTGAAGGTAAAAAACAATGAACGCCATAAAAATAGAATAGTAGCTACCCGAAATCAAAAATTTCATTGACTGTTAGTCATTCAATTCAATTCAAAGGTATGTTTAAAACGAACATACTTGCAGTTAGGATATAGATTTTTGTCTTTTGTGTTCGATTAAATTAGGTAGTAAAAAAACTATTTTATGTAAGATGACTGTTAATTTAAATTTGATTGTTTTTTTATTCGAAAAAAAATACAATTAGTTTGAAAATAAATAGAATTTACCAGCTCAATGCCGCGTCCAGTTCACTCTACTATTTTAACTTGACTAAAATTGAGCAACTACCAAATACCTACTATCTTCACGATTACTAGATAGAAATAAAAGTATGTAGGTAGGAGTGCAACCGCAGTTTCCTGAGATAGCTACAAACGGTGTCACTGACCCCAATCAAACATATTCTACGTGTGGTTAATATAGGCAGTGATAACAGTATAGGCACGTTGTTGACATTATTTGAAAAATATTAAAATTCTGCTAGAAAATTATACTAGCTTTCTACTAGAGGGTTTGCTTCTTCAAAAATTTTCTTCGATGTAACGAGAAAGAATACCATATTATACACTTTCGTATTTATTATATACTTGAGTAATACATACATATAGTGTATACGTAGTAAAATTAACATGATGATTTACAATAGGTTATTATTATATCTTTTAATACTAAATTAATAGTTTAATATTCATAAAAATACTGAATGTACTAAGAATGCACAAATAAACCTTCTTTTTGAGGGCGAAAATCAAAATCATCAAGTGTTCTTCTTTCGCCCAGGTTGAGGCGAGAGGAAATAATAATAATATCAGACTCTTACTGATTAGAAAATCTTCCTTCTCCTGCTCCGAACCAGAGCCGCAGTATCTTATTGCGCTTGAGCTACAATCCCGGCAAATAAACCTAAACCACGAATTCCCACGCTACGGTACAAGAGCCAGCGCCATCTGTTATCAAGCGGAAGAGACCGCATTGCGGTTCAGTACGTTATCGCTGAAACGTTTTCCTGCTTTCCCAGGAGCGAGACCGCGATGAGTCCAGCGCCCCCCGCCCAGCGAGACAAAACAAGCGGTACGCATGCCGCCGTCAAGCAGTCGTACGCGACAAGCGAAGGGATCTGTACGTACGAGATGGAACGCGACCGTATCGGACTATGGGGCTCCGGCGACTCCACCTCCGCCAGCAAAATCTCTGGCCTGGACCGCCTCAGGCACCCGGGACTCAACAAGGTACGTACCCATTTAAATATCCTTTCAAAACATGACATTGTTGTCCGCGTATTTTTGGTTAGGTCATGGTTGTAACTTGGCGGAAGTGTTCTGTTCTTACCGTTACGCCAAAACATATAATCGGAGTGCATCGGTCTAGTTTTGATAATAGACGAGGTGTCAATGTCGGTGCACCTCACATCCGCCGTGCAATTGTCATGTAAATATTTGTTTTGAACTTTACACCCGGCGTCAAAGTTCACGTGGTCGGGAAACGTCAACAAACTTAGGGGAACAAAACAGTGCTAACAGAAAATGTTGAAACACTAGTTTGCTAGTTTGAATACGCAGCATGATGTAATTGGCTTGTAAACACGTAGTCTTTATGATTAATCATTGTGATTTGTAAGTATCGAATAAACAACTAATTCCTAAGTTATTTACCATCATGTTTTAACAAACAAATTACACCTTTATAGGACAAGTAATAATGTTCTTTTTGTTGTAGTTACATAAGAAAATGTGTTACACAATTGATAGATAAATCCTTGTTTTCATAGTTTGGTTACTAATACAGTACAGATTGTAATAAGGAAATATTTCGCCATGACATTGCCATACTTCCGGCTCAATATTGCAGATTTGATTAAGTGTTATATTTTGTTTGCCTTGATATCAATAAAGTATTGATTTAAAGAACACGAGTTATAAATAAAACACGTAGTTTTTCCACTCATAAAATATGCTTACGTAAAAACATACTACAGTTAACAGTAATTTGAAAACAAAATAAGTACCTTATTTTTATTCACTGTTTTGATGCTACTCGCTCTGTAATCAAGCTGAAAACAAAACCAAATATCGCGCATGTGTATGCCAACAACACGGTTTATTTTTATATCTTCAGATGTGCATCATAATTCAGATAAACATTATCTTATCACCATAGAAACATTTGGCAAATATTTGTTTCCAAAAACAAAGCATAGTCTACATAATATAAGATTTAAAATTCAATGACGTGATTTTTAAAGTGAAAACGTGTCTAATGAACGCACAAGACTCATTTGTGCAAAATCAATTACTTATATTCAATTGTGTTAATGCAAACAGGCCCTTATTATCATATGTTAAGTTTCAATACACAAAACCTCGTTGTTTTAACTTTTTAATCATAAAGGGTCTGAGGAACAATATCTTCATTTTACCAGGCTGCTAAATGAGTGGGGTTTACTAGTGTTGGTTATACGTTTGTATGGAATTGTAGAGCACGGCCCCAGACACCATTAATGCTCTTTGAAAGGGGTCACTGATTCATCTAAAGGGGTGACTACCTAACTTTAAAATATTTAAATTAATGAGGCAGAGTATGCCTGTTTTGCTAGCGTTTGTAAGCGATTTTGTTAAGAGTAAGTAATAATTTAGAACTGTTTTAAGAAACACGATCTATATCAGTACATATATGTATCTAATTACCGAATAACTATTTAAACAATTTCCTAATTCAGTGGATAAAGTAAATTAATATGATGGTATTCCCTCATGAAACACAAAGGGTCTGAAGTATTCTGAATAGTTGTCGTGGTTTTCAGTGAATCACAAAACCAGTTGCTTTGAAAATGGTTGCTATAGAAACCACGTAGTAGTTATTGATTGAAATTCAGTATCTAATAATAGGAATGAAGTATGGTTGGAGATATTATTGATCATAGTTTTATGGTGGCATTGATTTTCGTGGATACCTAGAAATGTTTTTAGGTTTAAGAGAGAAAGACAAGAGATTGCGGTAATTTTATATCACTAGAACCTTATTCTCCGAATTATGTTTTGAGATTAGCTTCGGCATAGATACAATGTACAGTAGGAAGGCAGATACGTATTGACATTAAAAAAATAGACAAATTCTTACAGTTCATATTGTATCGTTACGTGTTATTTCCAACTAGCTTTTGCCTGCGACTCCGTCGCGTGGAATAGTCACTTCAGACTTTTGGTATAAAACTATCCTATGTCCTTTCACGAGTTCCAAACTATGTCAGTACCAAATTTCACTGAAATCGGTTCAGTAGTTTAGGCGTGAAGAAAAAACAGACAGACAGACAGAGTTACTTTCGCATTTATAATATTAGTTTGGATACATAACCTTCATAATTTATTAGAGCCTATGAGTAAGAATACAATTGTAAACTAGTTTTAACAAAGTATATTTATTGCAAGTCATGTATGAGCTATGAAATGATGTTCAAACGTGACCATTACACAAATTATAGCTAAAATATTTATATAAAATGTTCACGACGTCTGTTTTTGATGAAATGCGGCACATATGTACCTAAACTGTTTTTACTTATGAAAAAAATATTTGTTTTCCTCCCGTATTTTCTTTTATGGCCTACCTAGATTCACAAACACAATTTGTACATTTACATACACATGACACCCACAGCCAGACAACACAGTTTGTCCCACAAAGATTTTTTTCCGTGGAATCAACCCACGATACATCAAACAGTACCTATATGACTATCTAAATACCGAAATTTTACTAGACTATTAGAATCCATCGTTGATCGCATCATCTGTTACCACCATGTGTGATAAATTCCAAATGCCAGCCTGCCCATTACGAAATAAAAGGAAAGGAAGGAACTATTTTACCCTAGAACTGCAAATTCATATTATGACTGTTGCTATAAACAATTCTATTTAATATAAATTTATAAATTGTTGCATCAAAAGTATGTTAATTGAATTACAGTCTGTGTTTGAACGTAGAATCTGAATTCTAAGTACTATTTAAATAAGACTCGTGTACGATGCAATTAAAATTTCTAATTACAACGGAATTTCTCTGGCAATTAAAACTAGTTTCTAAATGTTGTAATATGTCTAGATTTCAGAATTATTTCAAATGAGATTTCGTTGCTCAGTTAATTGTTCCAACCTATTTGTATTATCCTTTGTATAAGGATACTTAGTCGACGATCTTGCGTTTGTAGTGAATCCTTAAAATGGCCATAATATTCATATTCGTTTTCGAATTTCCATTTATTAAATGTTCGTCATGCACGGACATTTAATAATTGCAAATTCCCGGCAATAAGCCATCCATATATTCCCATTTCAATAGCATTAAAATGTAAGGATCCAATTTTTTAAGTCATATACAATAATTAAATAATATATATGTTATGGATTAATCCATAACATATATATTATTTTACATTACGTGCAGCAATAATTCGTTATATACAGTGTCGTCATATACAATAATTAAATACAATATATACAATAATTAAATAATATATATGTTATGGATTAATCCATAACATATATATTATTTTACATTACGTGCAGCAATAATTCGTTATTTGACATACAACTACTAAGATTGTTTCTGTTTCTCCAGTAAATTATACCCAAAATTTAAACACAATGTCGTCGAGATTAATCGTCGCCTATGAACTTTAAGCTAACAGAAACTTAACCCTCAATTACTAGTTGCGGATAATCCCTTGTAACAACCGGAGATTTCCCCTTAATCAGTTTCACCTGACCTTAGTTTATTGAGTTTCCCAAGTTGATTTACGAGATCGAGTCAGGTACACGATGCCACTAACATGAGTAGGTACACATGTAGGTGTTATGACGCAATAACACTTATCTTTTCTCCTCAGAAAGTTCTTTAGTTTTTGGCACTTATGGAGGTTGGCTGGAGGTTTACAAATAGTTTATCCATGTTATATGGGACTTCTAATATAACTATTGAAAAGTCAATAATAACTGCTACGTTAAATTCAGTCTAGTCTGCTTAACTCTAGTGATGATTACAGCAATGTCTGTTATCAGTAGAATAGTCGTTTCACAGTTCATGGGCAATATAAATATAGGTACAATGTAAAATGGACTAACGACCTAAATATCGATCCTTTGCCCACTTACCTAACAAGAGAGGATGTCAATGCAATTGTCTAAAACTTACGTCTGCCGTAGTATATCTGTAAAACGTTTGTAAATTATTTATTTTCAAGACCAAAATTGCTGAACATATTGAGATGACTTTACTATTAATAAAATAAAATAATATATTACAACACACATTTTTTGTGAAGGCGTTATAAAGCATCAGGCAGATTAACCAACTCTATAAAATGTATGCTGGGCAAACACTTACCTAGTTCCACTTTATTGAAGAACAGGGAATTTATAGTACAATAGGAGCTTTAACGGTTTTCTTTGAAGATTTTCTTCAGTAAATGTCTATTCCGTAGACTTTAGAGAAAAGCTTTAGAGGAGCTGGCTTTATGTTTCACAATGGACTCGGGTCAATATAAAACGGCAGCTCTTATTGCATTTTCTGAGAGTGGTCTATTTATTATAACATTTACTATAAAATTTAACAGATGTACATGCAGTAGCCATTGTTGTGTGGTTGAAATCGGATCAAACATACACACACAAAGTTTCCTTTGGGCTTCTAGATTGAAATAAGCTCCTTACACTTAAAGCTTGGTTAAAATCTCAGTGCTATATCAAATAGTAGGTACCGCCTGCGGCTTCGCCCGCGTGGTATGTTAACAAAATTAGTCTATGTGTTAATATCACTGATACCAATTACAACAAACTATATCAAATTACAACCAAATCGATCCAGCAGTTTTACACATATACCCTGAAACTTTCACATTTAAAATATTTTAAAAGCTTCAACAAGGTGTAGAAATCATACACCAGCGGTATAATATTTTTGAGTTTATTATACATATAAATTTCTATCTACGTAAATCTTCAATTACGCTTTGCACAATTAAGTTACCCTCTATAATACGGTAGAATATCTAATATTATTTTTAATTATCAACTTTAACAACCTCTCAGGTACAGGCAAGATGTAATATATCTACATAATTGACGTTCTAAGGGTCAATTTCAATGTCCAATTACGTTCCGTGTCTCACAAGTTCAGTCGGTGGGTGTGTCGTGACGTCACGTCATGTCGAGGTCAACATTATTTGCTTGGT